TTCGGTGGCCGCTCCTGGCCACCGCAGCCTCGACCTGCTGGGCTCTGGGGATCCTTCCACCTCAGCCTTCCAAGTAGCCGGAACTACAGGCGCGTGCTACCACACCCGGCTGATTTTTTGATTTATTGTAGAGATGAGGTCTCGCTGCCCAGGCGGGTCTCGAACCCGTGGGCTCAGGCAATCCACTCACCTCAGCCTCCCAAAGGCGCGGTATTACAGGCTGAGCTGCCAAGCCTGACTTGTTTTTGATATTGTTAAGCCTAAAACACTAAGTCTCCAACTGCATTTCACTTTAAACACACGGACAACTGTAAATGTTCAGCTTGACTTATTCATGGCATTGGGCTATTTAAAAATCATTACGCATCTTTAATATATTACTACTGCAGGTACATAGTAATGTCTCTCAGTTGACATATTTCCTCCTTTTCCCCCAGTTTTATTTGGATGAGAATCTACTCGATTGCTTTTTCACCTAAAAGATTTAATTGGGATGTTGATTCAGTGGAAGAGACAGCTGTGTCAATGAGCATACTATCAGTTGAGGATAAGGAAACTGGGTATTGGAAGAAAGAATATATCAGAAAACAAATAGCATCTGTAAAAACCTCAGTAGCCCATGTTCTCCAATATGTCAACCCTTACACAGGCCTTCCGGCCAAGACCAAAGAGGCCCTCAGGTATGCATTGTGTTCTTGAATAGCGGCCAGAGCAGTTACTTGACAGTACTGTAAAACATTTCTGTTTATAACCAAAAAAGAATGATGGTATTATCTCAGAGTATTGTGTGCATGGGGTGTATATATAATCTGAATTGTGAAGAACTGTTTTTGTGTTTTTGTGCAAATATAAATATGGAGTATTTTTCTACTCCATATTCACTTATCGTTCTGCATCCATAGATTCAACCAACCGTGGATTGAAAATACTCAGGTAAAACCCCCAAACAATAAAGATAACAGTATTATAATAAAAATGAATACAAAAATACCCCAAGACATTATTTACAACTAATTACCTAGTATTTACATTGTAAGTAGTCTAGAGATGATTTAAAGTATGTGCCAATGTTATATGCAAATGTTACACCATTTATAGAGGAGACTTTTGAACATCCACAGATTTGAGTGTCCTGGGGTCCTGGAAGCAATCAAGGGAAACTGAAGGAAGACTGGTATATAGCCGAAAGTTTTTATGGAAAGCAGAAATAAGCTAGTGATCTGCTCTAGTAAACCAAGACTGCCGCAGGTATCCTCTCTTCTGGGCAGAACCTTTGTCTTACGTAGGTTATTACCATTACCGGGAGCATCATAGATGTTCAATGAGTGTTAGGTAAAGAGAAGTTACAGAGAGAACTACAGTATTAGTGAGATGAAAACAATGTCAGGTGTGTTCTGTGAATTTTGACTTTGACTTTTAAGGAATTAGATGCTTTAGAGATGAATGTGAAATTGCCTTTAGCACTTTTTTTTTTTTTTTTTTTACAATGAGGTAAATATTTTTAGCTTTCTTTTCTTTTTCCAGAATGTCTGGTTTAGGTTGGGCAATTATATTGAAAGAAAAAAGTGGAAAAGAATATATCATGGAGCATGTTGACCTTTCCATAAACGACACATCAGTCACTGTTGGGTGGTATGGCAAAAATTGGCCATGTCTTGCATCATTGTCAACCTTATATTTGTATGGTGTGACACCAGTTTTTAGGGACTGGTATAAGAACCCTACCCAAAATAGGTAAGTACAAATTCAGCAGAACTCTTGGGCAACAGCATCTTGTCTGCAAATATTAGTTGGCATTACTTTTGTAATTCAAAAATATCACCAGTGTATTTTAATTTGTCTGCATCTTAAAAATTTTTCTATCATTCTGAATAACTATAGAATAGGAAAAGAATATATTTATCCCATTTCTGATTAGATTCCTCATATCTTGGTTATTTATAACGGTAGAGAATGATATTCTAGTTAACAAAATTTCCTGGATGATTTATGGCTAACCTTTTGAGATTTTTAGTTTCAACCATTTTACAAGAAAGATATATTAAGCTATTATATGTTTATATTTTAGTAAATGGTGCACTAATTGTAGTTTAAATATGAGGTCATAAAGTCATACTGATTAGTTACTTAGTTTGCCTTTCTGTTTAACTTACTAGATATGTGACCTTGTGCAAATGACTTACTCTTTCTGTGCCTCCATTTTTCTCATCTGTAAAATGTGATGATGATGCTGCTGGCGTAGTATCTAGCATGTGTAGCTGCTGTGAAGAAAATCGAAGATGCCATTGTAAAATATATAACTTGCATTGTTAACACTCACTGAGCCCTTACTCTTCTTCTGTTGTGAGGTGGCCTGGCAGTAAGTCTGTGCTTATTATAGGGCTCGCAAATGCCTTTCCCAGCAAATCTCTCATGCTCACTGTTTCTGCCATGGGTCATTTGGTCCTGAAAGCTGGATTGTGGCATGTACAGCATCCTTATCTCCTGAGTGAGATGACACAACATATTCTTATATAAAATTTATTGCAAATGCAGAGGTAGGTCTGCCTCTTCTAGGGCTGACCTCCTGCCTGCCCAGCTTCTTCCCTGTTGCAGTGTTCCTTGCCTTTTCAGGAGTACTCGCCACATCTTTTTTCTGACCATCCTTGCATTCTATGGTTCCTCCTGTGGGTTTCTGTCTTGCTGTGGACAGTGTTGAGATATCTGACATTAGTGCTTGCTGCCTCCACAGAGGGACAGGGTTCTTTCATCGTTTCCCAGGAGAGGGACACATTTTTTTGCTGCTCTATAACCGGGGACCTTGTTTTTGCCTCCTCTCTATGGTGTGGCTCTGTGAGGTTTGTCTGAGTGACAGTGAATTCTTTTCCCATGCTGTGAATTTGAGAGTATTCAGGTCTCTCAGGGCTGTTAAGTCTAGGCTTTATTGTACTTTAAAAATATTCTCAGTGCTATGAGGAAACAACAAGTTATTTTCGCTGATTATATTATTGAAAATAAATTTTTAGAAGCATATTTGCCTTTTTTTTTGAGTTGGAGTTTCACTCTGTTGCCCAGGCTGGAGTGCAGTGGCCGCTCCCGGCCACCGCAGCCTTGACCTGCTGGGCTCCGGCGATCCTTCTGCCTCAGCCTTCCAAGTAGCTGGAACTACAGGTGCGTGCTACCACGCCCGGCTAATTTTTTTTTTTTTTTTTTTTATTGTACAGATGAGGTCTTGCTGCCCAGGCGGGTCTTGAACCCGCGGCTCAGGCAATCCCCTCATCTCAGCCTCCCAAAGGCGCGAGATTACAGGCTGAGCCACCGAGCCTGGCTCATATTTGCCTTTTTAAATGGTACTTTTATTTGGATGAATCTTTGAAATTTCATGTAGTATCATGATGGACACAAAGATTTTTCTGATGTAGTAGTTAGGTTTTATGCATTTCGAAATTGTGTTTGGAGAATGAATTAATAAATTATGTCCTAGTTTGACTGAACAGTATATTACTTGACATATCATGAAATGTTGCTTACATATATTAGGACAAAATGGTTAATATTAGTTAGAATGATTATAAAATACGAAGTTAAATGGATAGTTTTGAATTGTAAGGCTCAGTTAAAGATAGTGTGTTCTTGAAAATTGTCACCAGGGTCATGAATACTAGATACTATATAGTGACAAATGCTAGAATTCTTTGGGAAAATTCATTTACTGTAATTTATTCCCACTAAAACTTAGTTCATTCTTTCATAAACTGTGGTAAACAAAAAGTGTTTTTTGGGAATCTGTTTTGATCGGCACTTCTATTGCAAGTTTGTAAGTGAATGCTTTCACCATACAGGAATATAAATCCTTGTATACATCCATGTAACAACCAAGAAGAGACTTTTGTGATTTTTATTTGAATCTTTTTTGTTTCCTCTATGAGAATTTTTTCAAGAACAATGAAAGCCTCATCAATGTAACTTGCAATTTGAATTTTCCTGGAATTTTTACCTTTCTAGTCAGACTCTAAGTTTTCCTTGCCAGCATTTTCCATTCTGCAGTTTATGCTGTCTCTCCCCAAATTTGTGAGAGCTGCTGGGGAAATGTCAGCCTTAGTTTCTGTGTTTGTGGCTTGTAAGGCCATGTGCCTTGGCACATGAGGACTCAGCATGTTCTCAGGGTCTGTTTAAATGCCTCTAATGCAAGATTCGTGAGTATTTTCCAGCTTTGGACACACTACAGAATGAGAGGAGAGGATTGCTCACATCCCCCCCAGCCTCCTCTAGCCGCATTAATGATGATAATAGCAGTGACAACACTTACTGAGCACCTATCATGTGAGGTGCTGTCCTCCCTTCTGAGGAGGCTGGTGACCATCCTGCACACAAAGAACCAGTCTGTGATGGCGGTGGAGTCACTGTAGGTAGAAGCTAACATTTCACCTCAGGTCTCCCAGAATCCTGACCCTTTATTCATCCTCTTCCAAGTGTATTTTACATATGCTGAGTTTATTTTTAATTCATACATCACGTACATGGTCACCAATCACCTCTTCTTACTCAATTATAGTTGTCAGCACAAAAAGTTCTTTTGAAAAGCTGAATGTGGTACAATGGTGTTATGGAAGCTTCAGAGTTAGTGTTGCCCCATCTGCTTTGAAACATTTCTGCAGCTAGTCTCCTTTTGAGTTCTTTTACTTAATGGATCTTTATATAACTATTGCCTGCCATCTATGGCCAACTCTTGAATGAGATGTGGCCCCAACTCCTTAGAGATTTTGGGCCAGTGCTGGTTATGCTAATTGACTATTGAGAGATCACTTTCTTATATTTCCCTGAACATTTTTAAGATGACAGACATCTATGACTAACATTATGATACTTACATAATGTTTCACTGTAGATGATTTTAAGTCTTATGATGAGTAGCAGAGTTGTCTTTCTTGCACATTCGAGTATTTACTCTTAGATACTAAGACTAAGATAGAGTTCACGGTATAGCTCCTTTATGAAAACATTCATGATTTTGGTTTATTTCTAATGTTTCCATTTTCACTTCAATGTGATGATAACTTCAAATGCACATCTGCTTTCAGACAGTCTACTGAGACCACTGGCTTTCATGTCACTTAAAATACTTTCTCTGCTTATGCATTATTTCACTCACTTGATTAGGAATACATATTGAGAGTCTACTTTAGATTGTAGGATTGTGCTGGGTTTGGAGGGAAAAGAACAGAAGATGGTTCTGCCAATTTACCTTCCTGATTCTTTAGCTGCCTTATGGCTGGGCCATTGAGTTGACTGTAAGAGCAAAAGGAGGGAGGGACCTAGTTGGGTGAGAAATCTGAATGTATCCATTTTGCCTTTTATTTATACAAGTCATTAGTGTCCCCACCCCACCCATGTGCCACTTAATTTGAGCACATTATTAACATGCTCTTCAAATGCATTTTTAGATACACTAAGGAGAATTAGAAAATTGACAACCTTACCGATGGGAACACTCATTTCTCTCTCTCCTTTCTTTGGCAATGATGTTCAAAGACCCCGATGGCGTTCTTTAATTGCCAAGTACAATCTGAGTCTTTTGACTGACTCTGCCATGATTGGCTGCGACAGACTCATTCGGATCTGCTGCCTACAGCCTGGCCTCCTGGTGGGGCTGTGGAAGGTAAGATTCCAGTTCCTGAATATATGATATCCTTTTCCCACCACAGTCCCACATTTACTTAGTTATGTATGATATCACATGTAAATCCTTAAGACTTTTCAGTAACCACATTTCATTTTAGCATCTTATCAACTTCATTTTTCTAGTTAACATGACCCTCTCTCTCTCATGGAGGTTGCTCTGCTGTTCTGTTAATGTGGATGACAAATCACCTCTCCCTGCCTTTACGTTTTTGTTTACATTATTTCTATAATGTCACTAGACTTCCCCTTTCCTCTTCCAGTCAATCCATGTTCCTTATTCGGTTCCCTTCATGCCATTTCTCTGACAAAGTCTCTCTTACTGTGCATTCTACACGCTTGTCGTCCACACATATTTCTGACTCTATAGATGTGGCATTGAGTATAATCTGTCCTTTGGGATAAAGTGTGTAAGAGGTTATCCTTTCCCTCTGCATAAGGTTTCTTTTTCACCAGGTCAAGCTCACTGCTCGCCTCTGTGGGGGCTGTTCTCTGTGCTGTCACTTCAGGGTAAAGCAGAACAGTATGATGCCCCTCTGTACCACACTTGTTTAGGTTTGTGGCTTTGGCCTGTGGATGTTTTGAGAGAGCAGTTCACACATTTGATTCTGAGAATGGCAGTCTACCTCTGTGTACAATGACCAGGAAGAATTAAGACCCACATTTTCATACAACTTCATGCGCTTGTACATTTTCTTTTCTCAACTGACCATGGCAGTCATTTTCTCTTTCCCTCCTTCTCTTTCCATGTGAAGTGACTTGTGGGTGAGGCAGCAGTTTGCTTGCTCCAGCCTTCGTAACTTGAATTCATCTGTCTTTGTTGGCCTGCAGAGTAACAAGAGCTCTGGTTGATCTGACTGTCCTCTGCCTGACTGCTGGAGAATGGCACCCCCAGATTCACCATTCAGTGCCACCTATACCAGTCAGTTAGTGTCAGCTGGGAATCTGGGGAGGTATCAGTTCCTGAACTGTCACAGTTTCTGCTCTTCAGCCTGATGAGGCAGCTGAAGACATTGAATCTAATTTTTCTTACTGCATTTGCCAAACCAAGCAGTTACTTTTAGAAGCATTATGTCAGTAAAGTTCAGTATTTGTGAAATTAATATGGTATCTGGGAATGTCTTACCGGTATTTTCTTTATCTTGGAAAAGAGTTTGAAGCAATTGGGAACTCACAACATTTGTTATTGCAATCATCATATATAATACAGTATTTTGATATTTCACAAAAGTAGTTGTTCACTCATTGGGTACTTATGTGGGTGAATTGTGGTCTTGCTGTCAATATGAAGTATAAGTCTTATTAGATGGTAATAATATATTAGCAGTAATAATGCATTAGCACTGTGGTGATCTAGTTGTAAGAAACTACATCTATCTGCAAGATGAATGTACTGCAATCTTCAGAACGATCTTGTGAAAAATTAAAATATTTCAGTTGAAAAATGTATTCTTTTTAATTAACTTTTCAGAAGGAGGAAGAACTGGCTTTTGTTATGGCAAATCTTCATTTCCGTCACCTTCTGGAGAGGAGCACATTAGGCTCGGCCACTATGTATGTATTTATATGTGAATGTATTACACTTTTGGACAGTCAATATAAAGTATTATAAGTTGATGCAATTATAACTTCCTGTGAATAGCTGCAGAGATATTCTGCTTTTAATCAGTAGACACAAGCCTAGAGGCATGATTACTTAACTGTTGCTAAAATAATTGGATTATTCATGAGTACATATTTGCCTTATTCTGGGTTGAGGAATTTATACCTAGTAGAATATTATTAATAGGGGCAGGAGGGCATCATTATTTCAAGATGCCACTGCTATCCTTCAAGTTATCGCACTTACATGAATTTTCTATCTTCAAAGCACACACTCACGGCCCTCTGACTGATTCTGGCCTGCAGAGGAGTTTTGTTTGGGTGGACTGTGTGTCTTCTAATGAATTTGCATGTCTGTAGGTGGGGCACATGCTTCCCAGTTTACTGTAGTGCTCACCCTTCCCCTGTGGACATTAGATGCTCCCCTACTCATTTTGTTATTTGTGAAAAGCTCCTGAGGGCATTTGTATTTGCCACATTATGTAGTGAAGCTGTTCTAATTGAATACAGCTTTGCTTATCTCATCTTTGGGTCTTCTGCCCAGATTTCCAATTTATAGATCTCTTATGTGACACATAGGAGTACTTCTATCTTCAGGATACTGAGAAGAACATTGAGGGGTGGAGTTGCCTTTGTAAAGCTGCTGTCCTGGGTCAGTCTCAGAAACACGCTCACCGTGGTGGTCTGTGGCTGCCTGTGGAACTCCTATCTTGGCCTGTTTTTGTAGAAGTCGGTAAGAGGAATGTGGAGCAGTCCGGGACTTTCTGAGTTCATGGTATCGAAGATGACTGGGAATCCTAGAGAGTTCATTTGTAGGAGCTAGTGCTTTGAGTGGATGCTGACTTTTTAAAAAATATTTTCATTGGCAGTAGTGGGAAACTGCCAGGGGACGGGGGGGCACACCTCATCAACAAGGGTACTGGCACAATGGATATTTGTATACCTAACCCTGAATTGTACCCCACATCTTTAAAATTAAAAAAAAAAGTGTTTTCATTTCAAGTATTTTATCGCAGGTGTTGACAGATGTGTCTGTGTTTTGTTTTGCCTTTCAGTCCCTACGAGCTGCCTCCTCACAGCCCCCTTTTGAATAACAGCCCTGAGTATGGCCTGTATGGTTACCAACTCCACGTGGATCTGCACAGCAGTGGGATTTTCTATCTATGTGCGGCATTTCGCAATCTCTTCACCACAAAAGGTGAAATTAATTGAATTTTGGTTTCATTATGAGATCGGGGAATCAATTTTTATGTCTAAGTTAAGAATTGTCCTAACTGGTCACTTTAATGATCTGTTGGCACATCTATTCTCCCAGAGCCCTATATCATTCCAGGACTTGAAAAATACCTCCACAGGAGTTGCAGCTCTGTCTCCTTCACACCATCACTCTCTATCTTCTGGATGTGTCCTTGTTGATCTTTTCAATGAATGCTTCCTTATTGTTTGTCCATGCACTCTCCTTCCCTCCCAAACTTCTTTCCCTTTTTTCCAAAGGAATTTGGTAAATTTTCCCACAGGACCTGCATAGCACCAATTCAGGATGAGAATACAGAGAAACCAGCCTATCTCTTGTATGCACTGCATCAGCATTTGTCACACTTACCCAAGCTAAGACAGAGGCTGGGGTAGGCAGAGGAAGGAAGGGATTTAAGCAAGCAGGAGAAAAAGAAGGAATGTAAATTGGCCCCATTCTGATTTGTCTGATTATTTCCCCTTGACATAATTTTTCTGTATCCTGTAAACTAGGAGTTTCATGTAAAGATTTGAATAGGTTCAAGTTTAACATTTTTGGTAAGAATATGTTATGAGGGATAGTATGTACTTGACTTTGCATCACTTTAAGAGACACATAATGTCAGATTGTCCCACTATTTATAATGCCAGATTTTATCATTTGGTTAAGATTGTGACTACTAGATATCTTCATTATAAAGGTGTTCTTTCCCAAGTATCTTGTTCCTCAAAAGTCTTTCACCTAATGGACTTGGCATCCATTAATGATCCTTGCCTAAATCAATTGTTTTTGAATTTGGAAAAATGTTGATTTTTCTAATTACGCCGTTATTTCTACACTTATTAGCTGAGCTTCTGTAAAGAACTTTCTTTTTTTTTTTTTTGAGTTGGAGTCTCACTCTGTCGCCCACACTGGAGTGCAGTGGCCACTTCCGGCCACCGCAGTCTTGACCTGCTGGGCTCCGGCGATCCTTCTGCCTCAGCCTTCCAAGTAGCTGGAACTACAGGCGTGCACTACCACACCCGGCTAATTTTTTGATTTATTGTAGAGATGAGGTCTTACCAAGTTGCCCAGGCAGGTCTCAAACCCGCGGGCTCAGGCAATCCACTCACCTCAGCCTCCCAAGGTGTGGGATTACAGGCTGAGCAACTGAGCCTGGCTAAGAACTTTCTCTTATCACCTGGTGAACTCCTGTAAAGGAAGGGAAAATGCTTACTTCTTCCCTTTTTAACCACCAATTTTTGGACTAAGAAATTGATGTAACAGTCACCTCCTATGGGGGAAGCAATTTTGAGCTCTTTTTCTTTCTTCCCTTTCTTTTTCTTGTTTGTTGTTACTTTGGACTCTTGGATATCTATTTATTCAGTAATTTATAATCAATTGCAGACATTATTCTTTTTGGAGCTTTTTGCCCCAGTTTGGTCAGTGGGATCTACTGCATGCGCTGGTGTCTGTGCCTTTTTAGATATACCCCATTAGTTTTTTTTCTTTACTTTTTTGCCCAGAAAGATTTCTAGGTTTTCCTGTGATTTTTAAATTTTTTTTGGCATTTTTTTTCGAATTATGTCCAATGTATGTATTAACTAAAATGAATTGACATTTTTGTTGTTTAATTGTCCCATTCAAGAATGTGGAATATCTTTCAGTTTGTTGAAAAATGCTTTCGTGTCTTTTGGAAGCATTTCAAGGCTGGGTGCGATGGCTCACGCCTATAATCCCAGCACTTTGGGAAGCCTAGTTGGGAGGATTACCTGAGCCCAAGAGTTTGAGACCAAACTTGGCAACATAGTGAGACAAAAAATAAAAAACTTAGCTAGGTGTCTGGCCTGCACCTGTGGTCCTAACTACTTGAGAGACTGAGGCTGAAGGATCACTTGAACCCAGCTCAAGGCTGTGGTGAACCATGGTCATACTACTGCAGTTCAGTCTGGGTAGCAGAGTGAAACCCTGACCAAAAAAAAAAAAAAACCGGAAAAAAAGAAAATTAAAAAAAAATTTTCTTCATACTAGTTTTGTACTTTTCTTGTTAAGATATTTATTATGTATTTAATTCTTGTTACCTCTCTTTCATTATATCTTCCAATTGTTTGGTAGTGTCTTTGTGTAGTTTTGGTCTCAGGCCACTGCTTATTTCATATAATGAGTTGGGAAGTATTCTTTCCTCTTGAATATTTGTTTTGGAGGATTTTGCATAGAATTGGTAGTATTTCTTCTTTGTTTAGTAGAATTCACCTGTGAAGCCATCGAAGTCTGGAGCTTTCTTTGTGGGAAGGTTTTAAACTACAGTTTCAATTTCTTTCATAGAGGCAGGACTATTTCGGTTATCTGTTTCTTCTTAAGTAAGATTTGGTATTTTGTGTCTTTCAAGGAATTTGTCAATTTTATCTAAGTTGACAAACTTATTGGCATAAGAGTTGTTCATAGTAGTTTCTTATTATCTTTTAAAAGCTGTAGAATCTATAGTGATGCTACCTGATTTCTGATATCAGTTATTTATGGTTTTTTTTCTTTTTTCCTGATTTATGTGGTTAGAAGTTTATCACTTTTATTGATCTTCTCAGCGAACTAATTTTTGGTTTTATTGCTTTTTCCCTGTTGCTCTTCTGTTTTGTATTTCATTGATTTTCATGGAGATTTCTTATTCTTTCCACTTTTTTTCTGCTTCCTTTGTTATATGCCCTTCTAGTTTCTTAAGGGAAAAGCTGAAGTCATTGATTTGAGAATTTTTCTAATATAATTTAGTGTTATAACTTCCACCTATTTACTGCTTTAGTGGCATTTCATAAATTCTGATAGGTTTTATTTTCCTTTTCACTCTTAAAAATACTAATTTCTAAAAAAAAAAAGGTTTATTTTGACCTATGGATAGATAGAAGTGTGTTATTTAGTTTCCAAATATTTGGGGATTTTCTGGAGATTTTTCTGTTATTGATTTATAATTTAATTTTACTGTATCAGGAAATATATTTTTTTTTTCAGAGTTCAGCTGTTTATTGAACTCATTATGTAAAAGGTTTAATCAAACAGACCAAAGCCCATGTCATCATCAGAGTCCTTAGATCCTACCTTATTTGCTTCCACTTTCTTCTTGGCTGGGGCAGCAGTGGCTGATGGGGCAGGACCCCAGCTGGGGCAGCCCCAGCTGCAGGTGTCGGCCCACCAGCCCCTACAGGGCAGCTGAGGCTCCCGATGTTGACGTTGGCCAGGGCCTTTGCAAACAAGCCAGACCAGAAAGGCTCTCCAGTCACACCAGTGGCCTTAATGAGGGCAATGATTTTATCCTCCATGAGGGTCGCCTGGTTATCTTGCAGAATGAGGGCCAAGTAGATACAGGCGAGTTCGGACACGGAGGCCAAGGTGTGGCGAGTGCAGAATGGAGCTGCCTGGTGCGGTACTAGTTGTGAAATGAAGTGAGGGCCTCACCCCAACGCTGCCTTAGCTCCATCTGACGAACTGAGCACCTTGGTGGCAACTGGGGAAAGGAGGAAATATATTTTGTATGACTTGAATTCCTTTGAGTTTAGTATTGAGATTTATGTTCCAAAATGCGTTTTCTCTTGGTATATGTTCCAAGTACGCTTGAGAAAAATATGTGTTCTGCTGTTGTTGAATGGAGTGTTCTAAAATGTTAATTAGGTAAAATTGGTTGAGAATGTTTTTTTTTTTTTCTTCTACTTTTTTTGGCAGTTACTGAGAGAGAACTATTGACATCTCCAGCTTTGACTGGATTTTGTGTATCTGTCTCTCTTTGCTATGCTATCAGTTTTTGCTACATATATTTTGAAGTTCTGTTATATTCATAAACATCAGAGACTGTTACAGTCTTCCTGACTAATTAACCTTTTTCTCTTTGTTAAATGACCTTAATTCCTGGTGACATTGTTTTCTCTAAAATCTGTTTTATCTAATGTAAATATAAGCACTCCAGCTCACTAGTGTTAGTATGAAATGATTTTTTCTATCCTTTTAAATTTAAACCTATAAGTTTTCACATTTGGTTGATGTGCTTTTTAAGTTTCTTATGACCTGTGGCAGTGTCCCCCCTTTTAGTGCCATTTATTTGTTGAAGAAACTGGATCTGTTATTTTTCTATACAATTTGTATGATTGCCTTTGTTATTAACATGTTTCTCTGTCTTTTGTATTTTCTGTTCTCTGGTGGTTATATCTAGAGGCTTGATCAGATTTAGATTTCTCTTTTTTGGCAATAATGGTTTATAGGTTATGTCGTGTACTTCCTATTGCATTTTGTTAGGACATAATAGATGCTTTTCTAAATATTAATTGTTCTAAGTCTGCTCCTTCTATTATAAATTTATCCATGGATGTTTACTAAATGGTTTGCCAAGTGGTGGGTACCTATAGCCATTATTTTATTAGAGATTGCAAAATGATGATTTCCTAGTTCTGTCATTCCTGCTGCATCTACTGGCTAGGATTCTTCTATAAAGAAGACTTTTATCTTATTAACTATTTAGTTACCACAGGAAAGGCAGTACTTTCTCTGACAATTTATAGAAAAGCAAATTGAGGCTCTAGCAGCCTTGTAAGTCTTATAACTTGACTTGTAAGGTTAAGGGGGATATTATAAACTCATGAATTAAAAATATATCACTATGTACTTTAGTCTATTTGTAGTTATGATTCTTTTTATGGCTATCTTGGTACTTAAATTGTCCTGGTATTAGTCATTGGTTCCTGTGTTCTTGTATGTGACTCTAGTAATATTTTAATAGCTTGCTTGTATTCTAGCACAACACAATGCCTTAGACTCATCTATTTATTGTCCAGACTCTGGATTTGGCTATGTAGGAGGTTCTTATGGTGGCAATGGTATTTAGAGACCATAATCTTGATTCTAGGGATGCATGTTGCTTGGGTTTTTATTGCTTTCAGGGTTTATAGTAGGCAGAGCTAAGAAGCTTGTAAGTTTAATAATGTGAAGAAATAAGTCATGCATTTTTT